TTTTCTGTTTTTGAGAATAGGTAGTAAAAAAAGGGTACACTTTCGCTATGAAACAAATTCTAAGTTAGGGGGGGGGAGGAATGTTTCCTCAGAACAAGAAGCGTTGGAGTAACAGATATTGAATCATTGAACAAAGGTTAAAAAAATTAAAAACCTACTCTCAACCTTCAGTATATTTGAATTTTACTGTGTTTAGTTCAAGAAGCATTTACTATCTGACCAATTAGGGTTGCCAGTCCGCAAAATTGACCTCATATTGACGATCAGTTTGACTATCTGAGATAGTGGTGGTTTGGTGGACTAGTATTGATACTGGGTGTCATCACCCACTGTCAAAACTATTCTGCCAAATTACCACTATCTCAGATAGTCAAAGTGATAATCAATATGATGCTCCCCCTCTCTAATTCACTCAGACTCCGATTGGAATGAGAAATCCTGATTATTTAGCCAATGTAATTAAGGTCAGGCGATAGTAATGCGTCACAAACTCACATGGTATTCGGTCAAAACCTGAGTTTGTAATTGGAGTGAAATAAATAAGTGTTCATTAGTCTGACCTGATAGTTGAGTTTGTAGAGCACTGGGGGTGAGGTGGAGTAAACCTGGTGATCTCTGATTCGAATCCGGCCGTGATTCGAAATTTCATTTCACCTTCAATAATCAACCAGTAATAATATGATAGGTTGAACATAATAAGTATTCATCAGTTAAGTGGTGAAAGTAGTACATTTTATCAGGATTTATATATTTTTAATGTTCGGTGAACATTTAGTTTCCAAGGTGTAATTACAGAAGAATAAGCCAGAGAGATAAAGTCAATATAGAACTTCACATATAAGTGAATCGGTCCACGTTGGTATGCTTCACAGTAGAATATAAAGAACAAGTGGATGGAAGAAGCTGATATCGAAATACACAAAGGTGTATGCTAAAATGAAGAAGTTACAAGTTACATTTAGTCAAAACAGTCAAGCCTCGGAAAACTCTAAAGAATTAATACGTCTGCCTCAATGTAACCAATTTTCACCCATGTCACTAAGATTCTTCAACTGTAATAATAATATGTATGCTGCATTTCCAACCATAATTCTGTTTACAGTATGGAATTCTCAACATTTGATATTGTATTAGTGTAACCGTTGGGAGGCAACCACCTTCATGTTATCTGGTCCAATCTGCTGACCGAATTCTACCGACCATTTTGCAATGGGGTCACCAAACTAGGTAGCTGAGCGTCGTGGTGCACTCTGATAGATGTTAGTGGAGTAGAGGGAATCGATAAAAAGCCTTGGACCTAGATTTCGTGCTTGTCGGCGCTCGTCAGAAAGGCATATCTGTGGTCAACAACGCTACAACAACACTGGGTGATAGGGGTTCGAGTCTCTGGCAGGAAATCAGTTTCTTTCGGGTTTGCAGATATACCTTGCTGACAAGTTCTTAGAAGCGCGAAATCTAAGTTCAAGGCTTTCTGCGATTGCCTCCATCCAACTTATATATACGACTGTACAGTTTTAGAAAATGAAATCATTGAAAAGGGAACGTTTTTCGCTGAATTGTTGCCTCTTTTCTTTAATAACAGGAATGTTGAAAAGACTGATGGCTCAGCTGTCATGATAACTGTTCAATGTTGCGTGATTTTCTTCAGACAAGACTCAAGCTAAATGAGGTATGGTTGGATTTTTGTATGTAGTTGTGAGTGCATAGAGTTTAATATACATATTTGCTTCTTGTCTTCTCGTAGGAAATTCAAATATAGAGAGGTAAGGATGCTAGGGTTGCTTGTCATCAGATAAAATACTTTTAGCCAGCAGTCTACAAGTGTTGAGATGTCTTTCCATAGATGACTTTGTCAGTGCGGTCAACAGCGTACCACCCACTTTATTGACATGCTTCATAATCCTACACAATACAGCATGGAATTGTTTCCGGAGTCCATGAAAGAATTAGATGGAATAATAAGTAAGTATGGTTAAAACATAGGAGTTGAAGAAACTTAAGAATAGAGGATGAGTAATGCTAGACCGTCTGAGTTTCCTTATACAAAAAGTCAAGCGAAGGATTTTCCCGGAAATCAGTAAGATATGGGGGGACCTAGAAAGACTAGAAGAAAAGTAAAATCCAAGATGTATCATACTTGATACATTCTCTACAATATGAACACCAATAAGACAGAAACCATGGTACCGAAGAAGTTCGAATAAGTTTCCTTCACGTCTTAAGACATAATTTATCACCTGATATTTGGAGGGAATGAGTGTGAGGTCATTCAAGAAGTACCAAAAGCCAATTTCGATCAAGCAGTTATAAAACTATGAACAATCTGAATAGGAGATAACCGACACAGATACTAACTGTCAGGTCATTCATATAATTAAAAAAAGTAGCTTTAGTTAAGCTGGATAAGTCTCGTAAAGGGAAAGCGAAAAATACCATGGGACACACCGGCTTCACCAATTAGTGAAGTAAAGTGCTTCTCTCTACAAAACTGTACCGTTGTCCTTTGGAAAAATAAGAATGAGACAAGTTTGCACTCCAGGACTCAGTATGAGTTCTGGCAAGTTTGTTCAATAAAAGTGGTTTACGGAAAGAATAAAAGACAGAAGTATAATTGAAGAAGACTGATCTAACGTATTTAGTACCTTTGTCCAAATTGCACCACAACTGATTTCTATCCTGTTAAGGACTGTGACCAGGTTATCTACACTTTAAGATACAGCAAACACCAGTATTCAGAGACTTTGTGCACTGGTCCCACCTCTTGATCTGGTAACCCTAAGCTTTCTTTCAACCTAACCCAACCTATCTCAGCACTGTACGTATAGGTAGGTGGTGGATCGATTTGCACAGCACAAACCCAAGTCACCTCAGTCGACGGAGGAAGCAGCATAAACCAAGTTTTATGAATCGAATGTCTTCAGATTGTGTTACTTTTCTTGCCAATCCCTTGACAACCAGAAATCAGTAAAATTAAATGGTACTTTACTGTTCTGCTTCAGTGGTTTTTTTTCTTCAGTTCAAGTTCATCGGTAAAGAATATATGTATAAAGAAATAATTATGTCTACTTCGCTATTCCTTCTTTTACAGTTTTCTAATATTCATTACAGTAATATATATATATATATATATATATATATATATATCACAGAAATTTGCATTATACTTCTCAGTTCCTTAACAGTTTTCAAGTTCACAAACACTCAGTATTTAATAGCGTGGTCAAATCTGAATTTTATAAATTATAGATAAATAAATACCAAGAAACCCCAGTTCTGTGCAGAAAAGCCTAATACGTTAGTTGAGTACATTTTCAGCAATAACAAGAAAGATGGTTATGCTTATATACCACGTCACCATATAAAGGATTGTTGAGGATATTTAAACAGGCTATTATAAATAGCTTTTTATGCAGTCCTAGTCGGTTAGGAAAATACAAACCTACCTCAAAGTCATCGTAGTGCTGTGACTCAGTACGTTAGCGAAATGACCATTGACCAGTAGGTCATGGGTTCGAACCCTGCTCCGCACACCGAAGTTTGGTCAGCCGTCACACAACAGGTGTGACTCATAGCCTACTGCACGAATGTCCACGAAATGATTGAGTGCGAGGTCACCATAAAATCAGAATCAAGTGGTTAGAGACCTCAGTGGTGTTAGTGTGTCCACACATTTTCCTTTCACCACCTTCAATCACTTCAGTTATCTTATTTCCTTACCTTTCATCTTGGCGTATTCCACATTGATTTGTTAATATTAGGTGTGACAAAATGGATCGTTATGCATTAGTGCGAGGTCCGACAATCGTTGTGATTGACTGTGTAATAAATGGTTATCCTATGTCAAGTCTAAAATGTTTTGTGGTTCCAAAAAAATAAGTGCACCATGTAGACAATATTTTCATCCTAATGGTAGTTAGTTTTGCATATCTAGTATTATTTTCGATGCAAGATGATGTACGAACTACAATGTCTACGTTGACATTTCTCACGGCTGAGTTATTTTTTCAACCGTCTCCTAACTGTGGTATCAATACGGTTCCTATTGGAAACCAACCAACCAAGATCACATGGTTTGACCTGTGACACAAAGGTGTCATGAATTAGCGAAAAGTAGTACTGATGAATAACTTGAGTAATCAGACACCGCTTGGACTGATCTGTTGATTTCCCCAGCTAGATAAGAGTGATCTGTACGCCGAACAGCTGTTTCACTCGTTTGCGGGCAAGCTTACCAGGTCACATAGCGAAAGTACTTTGAACCACCTGAATCTGGTTATCCGACTTGCATAGACCAGTATATCTAAAATAGGATGACCAGTTTGCAAAATGACCTACAAATAACACAACACACTTAGACAATTCTCTCAGGTGAGTAGTTTATCAACTGCCCAACTATAGTATTTCCTCTGGAAACCCCAAACGAATGAAATGGTGGTTAGGTTACTCTGATCTGGCTGACCAAACCTACACATCGGCCTTATTGGTTTCTAACTAATCAACCTATTCAGAAGTATATTTTAAATGATCAATATGGTTGATAACATAGCTGGATCAGATCTACTGAACCATTGGTCCTAACCCTCCATAAATATCCTCATCTCCGCCTATAAAGTTTTTCTAATCACTTCTCATGTAACTATTCTACATGACTTGACTGTAATTCTTTCTATGATCAGATTTTACTCACCATTTCTTTTAATACCAGTGAAAATATTAACCCTTAAGAAATAAAAAATTTATCCATTTATGCATACCTGTAGTAATAATTTAGCTATAATATACATATTCATTCAACTTCATGAATGCATAGGAATAGTATTCACCTTCTAGATCCATACTGCTAGTGAATACGGTAGTAAAAGTTTACAGATTTACTTTTCCAGTAATATAAGCGCCTTATATATATTACTCAAAGTGAACTTGCTGACGATCAATAATCACACCACAGTGCATATAAGCTATTCATAACAATCATAATAAACTATAGGTTAAGAACTTACTAATGAAAGACAATTCACGTGACAGACAATCTGACAAACGGAACATTTTCTTTTAGCTCCAGTTTTCTGAATAATAGAATTAAAATTGAAGTAAAGTTATCAGTTTATAAGAAAGTTTAAAGAGAAATACCAAAATATCATAAATAGACTAGATGTATATTTGGCAACATAATTTATATTAAGAAATAAGGTTTATCATAATATGAAGTTATAAACTGTTGTCAAAATTAATTTTGGAAAGATATTTGGAAGTAGATTAGGAAACAATTAACAGTGAAATAAATCAGGAACTATTTTATGCATAAAAACAATTGTCCACCAGTTTCTTGATCTATATCATCATAGAACAGAGCATAGAATTGCAGTCATCTCAACTGTACTTCAACTTCATCGACTTTGAAAAGGCCTTTAACAGCGTCAATCGAGGATTAATTTGGCAGGCAACTGTTTCAACACTATGGAATACAACAAACCTTTATCAACCTCATTCAACAACTATATGAAGACGCCTCATGCCAAGTAATTCACAATGGGAAGCTCAGCTCATTGATGCCCTTGAAGTGAAGACAGGGGACAGGAGTAAGACAAGGTTGCCGCCTACTATCACTCATGATCTTCTTGACTGTAGTTGACTGGATCATGCAACAAACAGTGAGAAGTGGGAAGAGCAGGATACGCTGGCTTGACCGGAGAACAGATCTTAGAAGATTTGGATTTCGTCGATGACTTGTGTCTAATGTCACACAAACTCGAAGATCTACAGGTGAAAAACAACAAGTTAGCAGAAGAGGGAGAGCAGCGAAGACGGAACTTCAAGTGAATGTAGAGAAGACAGAGGTAGAGGTGATGAAGATATCCAACTAACACCACCAACACCACCACCAACAACAACGGCAGGCTCCAATCACCATCAACGGCAGAAACTTAAAGGAAGTAGCCTCTCTCACTTACCTATGCAGGATCGTTTTGATCACAGGTGGCAAAAGCATAGACGAGGACTTCAAAGCCAGCCAGAATCGGAAAAACAGCAAAACAAGCCTTCCTTCATTAACCTGAAACCAGTATAGAGATCTACTGCATCGCACTCAGCATAAAGCGTGAACAACATCCGGATTTTCAACACTAATTCAGTCAAGTCGGTGCTTCTGTGTGATGGTTGAGAGACATGGCGCGTTATAAAAGGGATTTCCAACAAACTACAGATATTCATCAACAGCTGGCGCTTACGCTCACTGCATACTGAAGGTCAAATGGCCAGAATAATAAGAATGAGCAACAAGGAACTCTGGCTGTCTGACAAGGAATAAACCAAGAACCTATCACTCAACAAATATGCAGAAGAGAGTGTAGATAGATTTGATATGCACTAAGAAGATCATTCGGGGACATCACGCACAGGCCAGGCTTGGTCCTTGAGAGGAACCGAGATGGGAAACGGCGAGTTAGACGTCGAATGCGAGGGTGACATGGAGTAGATGGTGTGAGGAAGAAATGAGAGCAGTCATGGAGCCAAGATCAAACGATTGCAGAGAAGAGAGTGTAATGGAGACGTGCTAGTGAAGCCCTATGTTCCACTAGTAACCCAAGCAACAAATAATAATAATTATAATATTCTTGATTTATACAAGTATAGTAAAGTATTGAAATAATGTAAAAGATTTGTAACTTAGGATAAAGATAATGTTGTTTTGTTGGTCTCTGCATTTTGGTATTTTGTTCTAGACATTTCATTACCAAACCTGTTGACATCTTCAGGACTGACTTCTTAGAGAAGTGAAACATTCAAATACTATACGAATGTTCAGTTGACTTCTCTATAAACTTAATGCTAAGGACGTCACCAAGGATGTCATTAAATATTGGTCTATTTGCTTGAAGATATGTATGATACATTCATGCAGATCAGAGATCATTCGCCTTTTCAGATAATGAACAAGAAATTGTACCTAAAAGTGTATAATTAACGTTGTTTACCTTTATGGGAATTTTATCTCTCACAAAATAATCTTTCATACACCTTCAGTACGAAGATAATATATATAGTTCCGTTAAGAAAAGATGTTGATAAGATCCAGAGCTTTTCAAGCCCATTGAAAAGCAGCTTCAAAAGGTTTGCGGTGACTTTTTCAATAACTAAATCTATTTTGTTTCTCTACAACTGGTGTCACCTGGTTGATGGTTATCTTATTCCAGATTCATTGAATTTTCGATCAAAAATGTCTTATATAAAAACCTTACAGTTTACTACACAACACTCTGTAAAAAAAAATATACTGAATTCGAACACTCCAAAAACAAACTTATTCGCAGAATAAAATGGACTAATTTCATTTCACACCCTTTCATCAGCTGAAAACATCTTACAGTTGAAGTGAAATATTAGTAGTATCAGTAATCATGATGTGACATTCTTCTAAACACGTAGAAATAAATAAATAGTCGAAATCAAGCACAACTAGCAGTAAGTAAGGCAGTGAGTCAGTCGACGAAACACTACATCAATAATCACAATTCTTAGTCAAAATCAATAACAATTTATACACATTCGATGAGATAGAAAATTCTAGAGCTGTAGAAACTACGGATAGACAACAAACAAGCATCAATGTAAAAGAGGGGATTATTATAAAAAGCCAATAGCTTACCTAATTACACGAAAAACTAGAAAATCGCTAGGTGATTAGCAGTCAATATGTAATTTAATGAATAGATGAATAGATGTGTACATAGGACGGACCAAAAGAGAAGTATCTACTCGGTTTTATGAGCATATTTCAAGAAATCTGTGTCTAAAAAGTATCCCCATCTTTACCAACCCACTCACTAGTCACCGAGTGGAAACAGAACATCAAACAGATATTTCTCATTCCCTCAGGATAGTCAGCAAACAAATAAAGAATAACACGCTTACTATGGTTTGCATAAGCTGTCACCATCAAACATTTTCAACCTGACATGTGTACTAAGACAGAGATTGTAATTAACGTTTCTTCTTTACCTTAGCAACTGTATATGCGAAGGCTTATACAGTTGCGGGAAGTTGCGGGACGGACGAGGACGTCAAAGTCAGAATCGGAAAAGCAAGACAGGCATTCATTAGCCTGAAACCAGTGTGGAGATCATCTGCACTCAGCATGTGGAACAAGATACGGATTTTCAACACCAACGTCAAGTCAGTGCTCCTGTATGGTTCAGAGACTTGGCGCGTCACGAAAGGGATTTCCAATAAACTACAGACATTCATCAACAACTGCCATCTACGCTGGCTCGTTACTGAAGATCAGATGGATTGCGAGAAAGAATAAGCAACAAGGAACTCTGGGAACGAACCAACCAAGAACCTATCACTCAACAAATATGCAGGAAGAAGTGGAGATGGATTGGCCATGCACTGAGAATGCCGACTGTGGACATCACGTGTCAGGCCAGTTGCTCTAGTGGAATCCCCATGGGAAGCGATGAGTTGGACGTCCGAGGGTGACATGGAGGAGGTCGACGGTTGTTAAACACTACACCACGAACTGCATAACAATATTCTAAGTAACATGTTGATTAAAAGAGTGACTGGTACAGAAATGCTGGAAATTCAATCAACAAAAGGTTTATCATTAGATATCATAAAATATGATTTGGCATAGCCTATAAACGGAAGCTATTGATAGTAGTAACATGTTAATTACTACGGTGGAATTTTATTTTAATTTAGATATAAGGAACGTTTTTAGCACACAACAAATAAACTTTAATAATCAAAGGCCCGTTTTAAATTTCATAAAGTAATGCCTAAATTAAACTAAGAACATTATTTCACAGTTTGTGGTAGATGGCCTACAATGAAAAATAAATTCTACCTGAAATATTCAATAACAATGCAAGTGGTTCACTAACCCACTACATAAGTGAATGGTTTATTAACCAAAGAGACCAAACGCAAGGCTTTATTGAATAATATCAGATAAGTACTTCTAGATATTCAAAGCTACTTCAATATGACAACATGAACATGAAGTGGAAGGAAAGATCAGAGGATATCATACGCTTTTCGAGTTAATGTTCATCATGAACTACCATCAGTTAGAGGAATGTTGGAAATCTAAGAGTACTAGGCAGCTATTTCGTCATAGAATGCGACTTCTCAGCAGTGCGCAACAATGACCACACTTCGCCATGGATTGAACCCACCACCTTTATGTTCCGCTGCCAGCACGTTACCAATGGGCCACTGGGACGGAATCAAATGGTTCATATTTCCAACATCTACCAGTTCATGACATAGCGTGACCGTCACTCATAGTCACCGTTTAGTATTTGTCCTCACGTTCACTCGCTTTGCCCTAGAAGTCACGAATTGTCATTGAAAATTCTGGAATCACCTGTCAAAGCTGGTCACCAATGAGCAATTCGGAAGTTTGTGGGATTTACTGAATTGAATTAATCTAGTACTCATTGGTGACGATCATCGACAGATGATTCCTGAAGTTTCAGTAAGACCGGTGGCGCAAACCGAGTGGACGTGAGAATAAATACTCAGCAATGACTATAGGTGATGGTTACGCTTTGTCGTAAACTAATAGAAGTTGGAAATACGGACCACTCAGTTCTATCCTAGTGACTCAATGGTAACGCACTGGTCGCGGAACCTGGAAGTCATGGGTTCAACACCTTGTGGGGCTAAGTCATGGGTGAGCACTGCTAAGTCGTCACGTACTAAGACGATACAACTACCCAGTGCCAGCAGATTTCCAACATTCCTCCGACTTATGTCAGTCCATGATGAATACCACCTTGAAATCACCAAATCCCTATAAACCCCCAAACGACACGTTTTTATTTACAGATGCACAATGAGATGCTAAGCATATTGTCCAGAAATATGAATATCTTTTATTGCAAGAGTAAAACTTCGGCATTACAGCTAAGTACTATTTATATTAGGTGGTTTATTTGATACAACAAGTACACATTGATATAGTATTATTTACTGGATGACACTTCGAACAGGATTTGTTGCTTATATTCCGATTAAAATAATCATATGACTTCCCACTTCCTTTTATGTAGTTCAA